ATATTCACTCGACAAGCTCGCGCATCTGCGCCGCCGCGCGCTCAATCCACTCAGCGTGCTTTGTTTATCAGCTCGCACACATCAGCTATACTGGCGTTAATACTGAATGTTTAACATTATATTCATTACATACATATACTTAATAGACATCCTTAATCTCTAATAACTCCATTCTGCTGTCTGTTGTATCGGTATCGGTGCATCCCTATTCCTTTGTTGTTGTCTCATACTTTTAGATACGCTGTTATTTGTAAATGCTATGCTTATGTTAGCTTCTAATATACGGTTTTATCCTGATTAAAGCTTTAATACAGCAGAATACATGATTGCGTTGTAGCATTTTTGTTAAGTAATTGTTTATTTTGTAACAGTAAGAAGTGTTTGTCAGCATTGCTTGCTATCATGGCAACCATATGCGCGTCCTTGTTTAATGCTTCTCGTATATGTGAAAAATATCTGTCTGTCTATACACATAAAGTGAGCACAATCACGGACCGGGGGAGGGGTCCCCCTCGGTAGAAATCGCGAACCCAGGGCACCAAACGGATACATTTTCTACGTTTATTTACGCTTTGATTTGAATAAAAACAACGTATCCGTGTGGTGCGGCTGACACAGAACAGCATACATAGTTTGCGTTCAGTGGATATTCTCCAAAATGGCGCTTCGGTAACGCGGAGGAGACTAATTGTTGAATAAAGTCGTTATTTTTGTTTTCTTTGCGTACAAAAAGTATTCTTGTAGCTTCGTAACATTATGGTTGAACCCCTGATGTCACATGGATTATTTTACCGATATCCTTGCTACGTTTTTGGACGTTGATCGTGTTAATTACATTGCTGTCTATGGGAGGTCTCAGAATGCATCAAAAATATCTTAATTTGTGTTCTGAAGATGAACGGAGGTCTTACGGGTTTGGAACGACATGAGGGTGGGTAATTAATGACAGAATTTCCATTTTGGGGTGGAGTAACCCTTTAACAGGATGCAATAATAACAGTGTAAATAATTTTATTCATTAAAATTAAGCAATTGATTTCCACTTTTCCGATGTGATATGTGATGAGAAAAGGAAGAAAAGCGAGTTCAGCAGAAGACAGACTCGAACCCTAGTCGATTGCATCATATGCTACATCCTGTTTATTCTCAACATTTTATCTTGACATTTTTCTTGAAATTTAACGAGTTTAATCTCGTATTATAATAACTTTAATATAGAGATGTTTTTTAAATTTTTTTATTATTGTTTGGCCCTATTCCTCTTCCGTAAATAAGGGTTCTTATCATTGTCACAATACGTAGTAATTAATACGGTTTATAGTCACATGTGGAAAGTTGGGTCAAGAATTGCACAAACATTACTTACAACCATGACTTAAAACCACACAGGCACCATCTTGGCCCCGCCCTCCCTTGGATACACAGGTGTATCCTATTCAGAAGTCTTTCTTATCTAAAAAACTTGATGCATATATAAATTCTCCTCCTCCTTCACATCTGTCACAATAATTTTCATTTACGTTTTATCTTTACAGTTTAAATAAACCATAAATCTCATGTATTTCAACAATTTCAACATCCTTCTCTATTTACATTTAGCAGACACTTTTATCCAAAGCGACTTACAAATGAGGACAATAAAAGCAGTCAAAACTAACAAAAGAGCAACAATATATAAGTGCAAATAACAAGTCTCGGTTAGCCTAACGCAGTACACGTAGTAAGGTGTGTGTATATATATATATATATATATATTATACACACACATAAACACACACACA